AAACAAAGTTCATGTGGTGGTCAGAGGTCCCCAACGAGTGACCGCCTGCCAGACCGATTCTGGCCAAGTCATAATAGCAGTAAGGGGGGTATGACGGTCCTTATTTTCAATTCACTAAAACAAACTACTGCTGCACAGGTTTATTGCATAATGTTATGTCACAAAATAAACCGGATTTGCCAAACCTATTTTTTTTAATTTGAAAAGTCAGTTTTCGGCAAATTTTCATCAGGCCAGTAACTTTGCAAAACAATTAACGTTTAAACATGCAGAAAAATTAATAATTGTCTGACGTGGGTGCCGATTGACCGCTGGGAACTATGTCAGTCTGCGTCAGTAGGCGAGATTGGCGTGTTGGCTTAGGTTGTGGGCATTGCTCAGGGGTCAGGTGCATAGAGTGATCACTGTCATTTGTATGGAGCGAGCTGCTGTCACTATTGGGTGGGAGCGATGCGCGATTATCACCTGGCGTTGGTGTCGGCCACGGAAGTTAAAGTGCTTAAGTTAGCGTCTTCTGACAGCACAGCACCGGACGCGGTAGCCGTATAGCCACTGGCTCGGCTGTTGCTAGCATCCGTGGGCGTAGGCACTTGGATAAGTTGGTTGGTGTCCGGTAGACAACCTGAAAGGCTTCATCAGTATCGACTCGGTGATTCGTATTGACAAGGTGTGCGAGAATAGAGTTCGATATCTTCCGTCTGACAGACTATAACACTGACACTGACGCCATGGTCAGGAAGTTTGTCAGCGTGCCCCTGTGGCTCAAGTTTTCTGCAGAGACTGAGGCTGATAATGAAATTGTGTCCCTTGGTGTCCTTCTGCGAGGGTGAAATGACGGATCGATCCTGCGTAGGATGTTCCGAAAGAAAATCTGGAGGGGACAATACACCGACTTCCACAGTTTTGTTCCCATAAACATAGAACGAAATATAGTCCAGGGATTAGCAGCTAGAGCACGAAAGATCTGCTCTCCTGAAACTGTTGAAGAAGAACTCCAAGAGCTGTAGAACAGACTTCTTGAAAACGGATACCCGGAAGGGTTTATCCTCAGGAATATTAGCAAACGCACCAAGAAGCCTGCTACCCTAACCGCAGCCGTGGCAGGAAACTGCTGGAGTCGTTTACCGGACCTGGTGCAGTTGTGGACAAAGCAACTATGTCGGAGAGACCGGAAGACTACTCCGGACGCAAATGGCCGAGCATGCAGCGGTGGTGAGAAGGAAAGACACCAACTCCTAGCTTGCAGCTCACTCGACGGGACCCGGTCATATTTTCGAGTTTGACGAGGCCGAAATCCTCGCAAGAGGTGACAACCACGTGAGCCGCAAGCTGCTCGAGTCATGGTGATCAGTCCATCAACAAGCGCAACGACTTGGCGTTCCCATATGATGCACTGAGAAATTTCCACAGCAAGAGAGTCAGTCACGTGGGAAAAACTGGGCGCAACCACAACTCTGACGACAGCGGGCATAATTGTCACGCAATTATCAAGCCTGCATCCGACGCTGACAAGGCAACTGTGGCAATTAGTGAGGCGAACGCGATGTGTCAAGCCAGTACCGTATCAATTAAGACCCAAGTGGTGGCTACAGAAGTGAATAATTATCACACACATGCGGATGACCACTACGAACTATAAATAACGCGCAACCTGTGCATGTCTCAACCCTATCTGCGCATGACCATGACTGTGTTACCATCACCTACGATTAAGGATTCCCGACGGAATCCGAAACGTCAGGCAAATAATACTCTTGTTCCAGTGATCGCATCCTTTTCTTCTGAACTGCTTCTTGGAACTTGTATATTCTCTACTATTGATAAATCAATCCTTCTGGTGACTCCTGGGATTTAGCCTGATGATTGTGGTGATCCGAGAACAAACACTACTTAGACCACTACAATACTAATGAAACCTTTCAGGTTGTCTACCGGACACCAGCCAACATCTCCAAGGGCCTACGCCCACGGATGCTAGCAACAGCCGAGCCAGTGGCTATACGGCTACCGCATCCGGTGCTGTGCTGTGCTGTCAAAAGACGCTAACACAAGCACTTTCACTTCCGTGGCCGACGCCGACACCACATGACGATCGCGCATCGCCCCTACCCACTAGTGACAGTTGTTCGCCCCGTAAAAATTTCGGTGATAACTCTATGCACCTGACCCCTAAGCAATGCCCACAACCTAAGCCAACACGCCAATCTCGCCTACTGGTGCAGACTGACATAGTTCCCAGCGGTCAATCGGCGCCCACGTTAGACAATTATTAAGTTTTCTGAATGTTGAAAATTTAATTGTTTTGCCAATACAAGCGAATATGCGAGTCCCGGGAAGTATTTCAGAAAAAGACGACTCGATCGCTGGGACAATACTTTTATTCGCCTGACGTTTCGAGATCCGTCGCAGATTCGTCATCAGAGACATAGTCAGAGAGCAATTGCAGATAGGGTAGCGTATGCACAGGAGTTTGAAGTATTTATGAGATACAGTCATTACTGCAAAAATACAACGACAATTAACCGTAACCGAGAATTTAGGTCGAAATTCTCGAGAGAGGTGACAATCGGGTGAGCCGAGAATTACTTGAGTCATGGTTCACGGACGACCAATCCATAAACAAGTGCAATGATTTGCGCACTCCATATTTTGTGCTGAGACGCAATTTGACCAAAGCAAGTCGCCGCTTTATGAATGGCCAGGCCAGCGCGTCATCCTACGCCAATAGCGGAGGGCCAGATTGCCGAGCAATCATCGCACCCGAGTCCAACACGTGTGATGAAACGTCAGTAGGTCAGAGCCCAGATGCCGTTCAACAGACCACCAACACTCAAGAAGGTAATTACGGTTAACTGTCGTTGTATGTTTGCAGTAATGACTGTAATGACTGATTCCCTCGGGAATCCGAAACGTCAGGAAAATAATACTCTTGTTCCAGTGATCGCATCTTCTTCTTCTGAACTGCTGCCTGGAACTCGTATATTCTCCACTATTGGCAGTCCTTCTTTTGCCGCAAAGATTGATTTTTCATAATCGCATTTACCTGGTTTGCATGAAGGCAAAAAACAACGTGACTGAAACCTTTCTGTCTTATATTAATATTCTTTTAGAAGAAGTTAAGATGTTCCCTGGGTCTAGGAGTGTATTTTTCCGACGTTTCGAACTCTCCCGCGAGCTCATTGTCAAGGACTGAAAAACGTACAGCTCACAGTGTAATTAAGTCGGCTCTGCCGG